TTTTGTTAAACTGTGATGGTGGAAATGTCCATCACAGTTTCTCAGAATCCACGGCGATGCCTTTGTTTAGTCCAAAATCCAAAGACGTGAAGTTTTCAATCATATAAAACAGAAGAACTGAAAATTCCGAGTCCAGGGCCTTTATTTTATTTTCCTCAGTGCCGGAGCCCCAGGCCTTTGTTTGGGACAGGTTGATGTAGACGGGCATTTATTTTAACCCCCCTCCCTTTAATACAGTCTCAACACTCCTCCATGGTCCCTGTTGTCGTGAGAAGTTCACTATAATCTCCATTTCCACAGCAACAGTCACATCAGCTGTTCACCTTTAACATTTAACCATGAATGAAACTCAACAACAATTTTCACATTAAAAGTCTTGAAGCTGTCCTTTTATGGGTAGGCTTTTAATGTGAAGAAAAACATGTCATCTTCAGTGGATTGATGGTTGATGGTCTTATCGTACCTTTATCATTTATTCACTGATCTTTAGATTTGGTTTGTTTTGTCTTTTCTTGTTTTTGTGTGTGTCGGTGATCTGAGTGTCTCTCTGCTCCCTCACTCCTCCAGCTGGTATGTCCTGTTCGGTCACGAGTTGATCTGGAAAAACCGAGAACCTTTTGTGAACCTTTGGCACAACCTGAGAACTCGAGGAGGGCCGGGAGGAGGAGGAGACCGAGGAGGCTCCGTGTGAGGCACTGACACACCGGGACTGATGGAGGGAAAAAAAATCTAAAGTAAATGAATGTAAAGATGTATAAAATGTACAGACGTGCAGAGAAGAGACAACCGCTGCAGCTCCTCTCAGGACTTATGCACCATTCAGCTTCCCCAGGACAGGTGTACAGGAAGCATGAGGGAGTCATGATGTTTCACACAAATACACCTGGATTTAAAATAATAATTAATGTCTATATTTATTATATAATTTATATATAAAATCAACAGATTTAAGTCAAAGATGCCATCCCTATATAAATAATTATCTAATAATTTCTCAGTTAATTATTGGACCAGTGACATGTCCAGTATCATTATACTCCATGTGTAGTTCCCAAACACTTTATTAAAGACATTAAGTTCCGTTCAGAGCAGCAGTTTGTCCTCACACTGGAAGAAATGATCCAGACACTGTTTGAGATTTTTACTTGTTTTTTGTTGATTAAATAGTGATTTCAGGCTCTAATGAAATGTGCATGTTTTCTATGGACCAGTGATGGACCTGCTGTATACAGCTGTGAGTTTCATGTAAAGAAATAAAGAACATATCCAGGACATGTTTTTTTAGGAGTTAAAACCAGCAGCAGCAGGAGAAGTACAGAGTCACTTCTCTGACAGCTTCCCTTCTAGAGTCATTTCTCTTCTAACGTCTTTATTTCTGCTTATTTATGTCTGTTGGATTTATTCAAAGTTAAAGAGTAAAAGCTGCTGGTTCTGATGGCAATTAATACTGATGCCTGCACTGTTCACTGTGGTCTAAATGACAGCTGTTCTGTTCTGTTCTCTGAGTATCAACTTGTGATGGGTTAAAAGTTGTACCACTCTGACAAAAGGATGTGTGAAAATACCAGAGGAAAAAAAGAACAGTGTAAAGTACAATCAGAAGTGTATTTGGAGAAAACAGTGAGTTTATAAATCTGTCTTTTTCTGAATTACACACATGACTTCAGATAATGTTCTGGTCTCTGGGTGTTTGTGGTCTCCTCTGTCTCTGTCTCTGTACTGGACTCAGACAAACCCCGAAGCAGCCTCTGGATCAGGGCTGTCACCAGATCAGGTTTTGACCTGAGGTCCAGTTTTCTGCTCTGATCCTGCTCCTTCTCTGACTGAGGACTGTGATAGCTCGACTCCCTCAGCTGCTCGAAAAGCAAATGACACAGCTCAGTACTAGTTAACCATACATCACAGTATGCTGTAATAAATGTTAAATTAAAAATACAGTTTATTAAATTGGATTTAAAATGTTTATCCTACTTCAATAATAATTTAGCAGCATTGCGGTGTTATTAGATCTATGGTCTGTATGATCACAGATTAAAATGAAGACCAACAAGAATCAGGGTCTGGGTTTTTATCACTGAGTTCAGATTAGTTTTTCATTATTTTATTGTTTGAATAATTAATCACCTCACAAACTGTTTCAATCAGAACTGACCCAGTCTCAGTCTGGTCTGTGGTCCGGACTGAGACTCAGTTTCCAGACTCTCATGGACTGACACTTCATATCTGCAGCTGAACTAAATGATCAGATGCAGAACTCAGTCTCTGTGTGAAGTCACATTGACTAACTCTGCTGCAAAGAGGAGCCACTGTGTTCGCCCACAGGATTTATATGTTGATACCTCTCATTGTGGTTTGTTACGATGAGTCATTAACACAATCACGCCTGAGAACGCCTGACGTTACTCGTGTTGATGTTATCTCGTCTGACCTTCCTGTGGACTCACAGTGTCCAGGCAGATTCATAATAACTGCCTCACTTTTATTCTCCTGTTTTACAGCTGCCCCACAACAGTATGTCCTCAGAATAGACCAGAATAAAATAGAATAGAATAGAATGCCTTTATTCTTCATTGCACAGCTAGGCAACAAAATTTAGTGCATCTCTGTAGTGGCACAAACATTCAAGATAAAAATATAAAAGAAGACCAAACAAACACAATAAATAGCATAAACATGAGTTATCAAAGCAGGTGTGAATAATAAATAGTCTGTGTTGCACCAATTTAGCAGTTTAACAGTATTATTGCATTTAACCAGGATATTATTGCACATACTCAAATGTTTCAGTTTCAGTAAAAACTGTTAAGTGCGGAGGTGCAGGTCTTAATGGACCTACAGCGCCTTCCAGAGGGCAGCAGGGTGAAAAGGTGGTCACCTGGGTGTGACGTGTCCTTGCTGATGTTTGTGGCTGGACATAGGCATCAGGATCTGTATAAGTCCTCAAGTGAAGGCAGCTGTGTGCCAGTGATTTTCTGTGCTGATACAGGGGCACCATTTACAGACACAGCTGGAACAAGAGCAGCTTGGTTAGCTCGGATTAAAATATGAAGTATTTTTATGAAACATGAAACATGAAAACAGAATTCAATTTTCTCAGTTATTTATCCACAGACAAAAACTCTTCAGTCTGTTTCCAGGCCTGTTTGTACTTTGATCTGATTTGATTGGCCATCCAGCTGTTTGATTCAGATGTTGCTAAATCCTGATTGGTGCACAGAGAAAATCAACTGAGCCCCCGCCCACTTCAAACCAGTGTGAAAAGCTACAAAAAAGAAAATAATATGGAAGAAAAACAAACTGCTGTAACTTTGATATCGGCTTCACAGCTCAGAGGAAGGTGACTGAGAAAACAGATGGTCCATGGTCAGAAAAAAAATGGATAAATATCTTTTAAATTTGTGAGAAGGAATGAAAGTGAAAGATTACAGATATTTATCTGTAAGCATAAAATTTCACTTGAAGCAGTTTGATGAATTCACTGTGACCTACAAATATGACGTCAGACGATAAACAGAGAAACAGTTTAAAGTTCACACACACACACACACACAGCAGAGTTTACTGTCTGTACACAATTGTGGATCTGTGTGTGACTCTCAGAAGGGATCTGATAACAATAAAATACTATTATTATTTTTTTATTAGTAAATTATTTATTATTTATTTATTATATTTTACTCCTACAATTTTACCCCTACAAGTTTATGTATCATAAGAATATTAAGAAGACGAGTTCAGAAGAGAAATCAGATCCTTCTGTCTGGAATTAAAACACCTAAAAGTAAATTTAGTTATGAAATAAAACTTGGTCAGTTTTATTTAAACAGCCCAAAATCAAAGATATGTGTTGAGCATACGATACCCTACGTCTTTAAACTCTCAGGATACAAAAAATCTCCAGAGACACTGAAGAATGGTCAGCAGGAAAATGTGTGTATTTCAATATCAAAAGTAACAATATTCATTATGAAAACTTGAGCTCTTAAAGTTACTCTGTGTAGAATATCTATGGAAATTCTTCCAGATTTTTTTGGATTATCTTCCAGTTTATCCTTTTGTCTGGAGTCAATCCCAGTTGACACTGGGCCAGAGGCAGGGTTCACCTGGGCAGGTCACCTGTCTATCACAGGGCTGATTGGCAATATAGTGATGTAGAATTTATGGCAGTTTACAGTTTACATATATGACAAAGAGAAACAGTAGATCCTCATATACTGATATCGATATCCGATATCAATATATTGGCTGATAGTAATTTTATATATTTACATAAAGGCATCCTAACCAGTCTTCATATTGATCTCTCAAATTTCTTTATTACCTCTGCCAAGGAGGTTCTGGTTTCAGCCTTGTTTGTATGTCAGCAAGATTAGACAGTCCAGAACCAATTTTCACCGAACTTGTTGGAGGGATGGACCACAGACAAGCCCAGTACATTTTGGGGCAGATCCAGATCATTAACTGTGACTTTCACTTTTTTTCTCTGAAGTCTGGTGGATGTAGGTCTGAGCTGTCTGAGTGCCCTTCCAGTTTATTGTTATTATTATGACAAAGATCCACACTGAGCAATATAAAAGTCAAAATGTGTCAGAGGTATCTAGTGGAAAACTAAACTGTAATGGAGACAGTTTCTAAATGATCTGAGATATTTTTTGTCCTGCAGTTTACTGTTACTCACCAGCAGACATGATCACAGGTACCTGTGTGTCTACAATAAGCTAACACCAGCTGGCTGCCTAAAAACCTGAACTCAGTGAATCAGTATTTGTTGAGAGGATACAAGCACATTAAAGAAGAACCAACAAAATAAACAAATCCATGTTATCCTCCAGATTTATAAGATTCAGTCATATAGACGAGCCTGGTGGCTGTAAAGAGGCTGAAACCTGCTCATAACAAACAGGGCTGGAGGTGAAACTCTGGGATTCCTGAATGTCAATACTGATGTGTGTTCAGCGGTGGTTCGGCCTTTCCCAGAGTTCATTGACCCTGAAGACCAACAGACCTCAGAGGACCAGACCAGGTTCCCACATCGCAGAAACCAACCCAACAAACAGCAGGAGAGAAGAACGAACAGCAGAGACTGAAACCCAACAAATACTTCACATCCACCTCCTGAGCTGAGCCGACGGTAAGAACTGATGTTAGCACGGATTAAAGCCAGTCTCTGCAGGAACAAAGTTAATCTGTTTGGTGATGAGATGTGGATGTTAGGACCTGATGTGGTTTTCAGTCTGAATTTTTGACAGCAGAACTTGACATTAAATGTATTTTAGATTTTTATTTGGTATGAGAACATGTGACTGACTGGGGAAGTAATTTTAAATTGAAGGGTTGTGGTGGAAATCAGGACACGGAGGTCAACGGGGTCAGATTAGTGACAACCAATAGGCTTAATGTAACTGATTAAACCAGGCTGAAACCTCGTTCTCTAACCTTTGTATTGCTGAACCCACCAGGACCAGGATTTGATTGTTGCTTTCCAACCTGTTTTTACCATAGACCTGATTCTCTGTATGTATGTAATCATGCTGAAGTGAAACATGATGACCTGAAAAACTGGTAACTATTCAGGAAAGAATTGTGACTGTTGACTTTCTGGTGGCAAAGGTGGGACGTTATGACACAGTTACAGGATAAAGCTGCTGTATAAGGATTCTGTATTTTTCTTATTGTCAACAAAGTAGAGATTGAGTTTGGACCCGATCCAAAGGAAACCACTGAAAACCTACTGTAACACAACACTGACAGATTAATTTAAAGAAAATAAGAGACCTAGTCTGACAGGCACCCCAGGATGGTCAGACCCTGACTGCATCTCAGAATTCATCTCGGTTCAGACCAAAACTGACCCAAACACAGGGGATATCCCTGCTGCTCAAAATACACACTAGATGCAACTGCCACTGAAAATAGTCCCCAACTAACACACTACTTCCTCCTGTTTGTATGATAGAAATCACACTGTCCAGCTGTTTTAGAAAACTACTGATCCTTTTTTCATGAAACAATATATTTGTGAGGTGTTTTAAAGATTTACATCTTCAGTAGGAAACAGTGTGCTCAGAGTTGAGAGCCAGACAGAGAAGGGAAGGCAAAGAGTGTTGAGACAGACTAACAAATACAAACAATTTTGATTTGGGATTTGTTAAACCAGACGGCCCAGAGGGAACATCAGCCCTCCACCTTCTCATGTGAGCCACAACTACTTAATAAGATGGTAATATTTTATGTTTGATGTTGTGAGTACAGATTAAATGAGAAAGTTCCAATATAACCAATTTGTCTGTCATTTGGGTCCTTTTTGAAGGCACTGAACTGTTTTGTTGTTTATTAGCCAACTGACAGAAAATTACCATTTTAGTAAAAGTTTAATCCTTTGAGTCATTTCTAAACAAAACCTTAGGGAGGAGGGTTGGACAAAACTTCAAGACTTTTAAAGATGTTATCTTAGCCTTTGGGAAACTGATGGGAATTTGTTTGCCATTTTATAGACAAAGCAATTAATCAATACAAAAAAATTATCAGCAGATTAATTGAAAATAATTGCTAGTTGCATCCCTTTATATTGAGTGGAAATATAAAAAGGACCAAGAATAGAGCCCTGAGGAACCCCATAGGTAAATCCTGACTTCTGGATGTGGATGTAGGCAGCCAACATGGTTGCTAACGTGTTATCCAAAACTGTTTTAGAGGATCATAACATGTCAGATGCTGAGTGTCTCTATGCCCCTTCGTAGTTAAAGAACACTTGCTGTCTTGCAGTTTGTTTGGTCTCACAGCTGGTTGGTGTTGATGTCCTGCTGTGTTTCCAGGTGTTCCAGGTGTGTGTGGCGACATAGCAGCATGGCAGTGGGTCTGCAGGTCGTGGGTCTGGTTCTGGGGGTGGTGTCCTGGTGTCTGCAGTCCAGCTGTACGTCCTCTCAGGTGTGGAAGGTGAGGAGTCAGGTGGAGTCGCTCACCAGCAGCCAGTGGCAGTTTGAAGGTCTTTGGATGAGCTGTGCTGCCACCTCGCTGGGGTCACTCCAGTGCAGCAGGTTCAAGACGGTGCTGGGACTGCCAGGTGAGGACCCAACACTGGAACACTGTGTTCTGTTAATTTTCTATTTTTATTTGAGTTTATTAAAAATTACATTACAAAAAAACAGACCACATCACAACTACATCACACAGAGTCTGACAAAGGGAATCTAGGAATAGGCTGCACAGAAACTATTAAAATTTAACATAGGTGATCAGATGGTAACATTCAGTACATATGTAGCTTGAGTGTCCAATTAGGGGAGAAATGGTAGTAAAAGGGGCACAACAACTCCACCTGGAGAAACATCTCAGGATATACTATCCCAAAACCTTAGATGTGTCAAATGGATCCAAGGACACAGGGTCGTTACAAACAAGGCAGACATGATTTTAAAGACAAAATATTTTATTAGAACCAAAAATATAAAATAGCAGGGAATGGAACTGCTGAAAAGGAAAAGATATTAAAGGCAAATGAAAATCACAGCATATATAATGGATAAAACTCTATTTTGTTAAATGTATAGATTTTTAACCCTTATGCCCTCCTCAGGCATTTTTGTACATTTTTCTCAACTTTTTTTTTGATTTTATTATCATTTTGGCTGTGTTACAGCTTGTGGCATAAATTTTTGCAAGAACTTTTCTTTTTAGTAAAATTTTTGAAATCCAATGTCTTTTACTCTTACATGTCTTTTATACTCTATTGATGCATTTTGCACCCTCTGGACACCTTCGTGGCAAAAATGCTTTTAAATCATCATACATCAATATTTTTTTCTGCTTTTTTTTTTCATAAATCACATAAACATCTTCAAACTTGCTCAAAACTACCAAACATTCAATCATTTTAAGGATTTTAACCCTTTCAATGCCAGTTTAATTATTTGAATTATTAATTATTTATTACAAAAAAAACACAAAAAATTAATTATTTTCCATATAATAAATAGTAGGGAGATGAGGCTTTGGTGGTGATTAGAGTCTTGGATATGTCAAAGATTAACAACAAAATTGATTTGATTGCATTAGTATTTTTTATGTAGTGCGAGATACTCCCTCTGGACACCTTCATGGCCAAAAATGCCTCATTGACTTCCATTAAAACCACATTTTTTAATCTCACTGCCATTACAGTATAAAACCATGCATTCTGTAATGTCAGCATTTCATTTTGAAGAAAAGTAGTGATATTTGATATTTTTACTGTATTCCACCAGATTCAACCATTTTCCCATTGTAGGCCAATGCATGAAATTCTTGTATTTTTACCTGTTACCTGTAGCCATGTGACTACCAGGGGGCCCCAAGAGTTTCTTTTGTGTGTGTGTGTGTGTGTGTGTGTGTGCGTGTGTGAGCGTGGTTGTGTGCGAACTTGTAAGCACGCACTGATCATTTCAGGGGTGAAAAAAGGGCATATTTTGAGGGATGTGTTTCATGTGTCTTTGAAGAGGTGCTTGAGTAAAAACATGGCCTCCTGCCTTTGTACTCAAAAACAAAAACAACTGTTAGTGTGTATATGAAGAAGACGCAAGTTTCAAGGGGGAGTCTGACATGGAATGCTGAGAGTCGAGAGGAGACTGAGGATCCTGCCCATCCTAACACTGAGTTACAATGAAGAACAGGCAAGTCTGGTCTTCATCTCATGCCGAGACGCTGCGTTACATTCAGGCACCCACCAGCATGATGCCAGAGCCCACGAGATATGCCATATCAAGAATCCACGATGTGGCATCCTCTTTTGCCCTTTTCTTCACTCCTGACGTGATGCAGCTGATTTTGCAAATGACAAACCTACACGGGAGGCGCTCTGTGTCAGGATGGAGTGATGTGGATGCCCAAGAGATTTGAGCATACATAGGACTTCTTATCCTGGCAGGTGTGTACAGGTCTAAAGGGGAATCTACCTGCAGCCTGTGGGAGACCAGTCTTCAGGGCCACCATGTCCCACAAATGATTTCAAATGATAAGCGCCAGCCTCCGATTCGATGACCGACTCACCCATCCTTCTCATAAAGTTTTTTGCTTTCCGGAATATGTGGACACAGTGCCTCCCACTCCTGTTCAATCCAGGGGATGACATCTGCTTGTAACCTTCAGAGGCCGCTGCAAATTCCGGCAGTACATGCCCAGCAAGCCAGCAAAGTAGCGGCTGAAAATCTGGGTCCCTGGTAGTCACATGGCTCCATAATATAACTGGTAAAAGTACAAGAATTTCATGCATTGGCCCATGTTTTTACTCAAGCACCTCTTCAAAGACACATGAAACACATGCCTCAAAAGACGCCCTTTTTTCACCCCTGAAATGATCAGTGCGTGCTTACAGATTCGCACACACCCGCACACACACACACACACACACACAAAACTCTTGGGGCCCCCTGGTAGTCACATGGCTCCATAATATAACAGGTAAAAATACAAGAATTTCATGCATCGGCCTACAATGGGAAAATGGTTGAATCTGGTGGAATACAGTAAAAATGTAAAATATCACTACTTTTCTTCAAAATGAAATGCTGACATTACAGAATGCATGGTTTTATACTGTAATGGCAGTGAGATTAAAAAAATGTGGTTTTAATGGAAGTCAATGAGGCATTTTTGGCCACGAAGGTGTCCAGAGGGAGTATCTTGCACTACATAAAAAATACTAATGCAATCAAATCAATTTTGTTGTTAATCTTTGACATATCCAAGACTCTAATCACCACCAAAGTCCCATCCCCCTACTATTTATTATATGGAAAATAATTAATTTTTTGTGTTTTTTTTGTAATAAATAATGAAATAATTCAAATAATTAAACTGGCATTGAAAGGGTTAAAATCCTTAAAATGATTGAATGTTTGGTAGTTTTGAGCAAGTTTGAAGTTGTTTAAGAGATTTATGAAAAAAAAGCAGAAAAAATATTGATGTATGATGATTTATGTTTTACCACTTATCTGCATCCAAATGTTCCCAACCACAACAATTGCGGGAACCAGCAAGAAACTGCACAGAAGCCAGCAGGTTCGTTTTATAACCTGGCCCTGATGAGGGAATTTGCTGGAGGGGAGGAGGAGTCCTCACAGGGCTGCATTCACCAACCCTACACTGGGAACATTCCCCACTAAACAAACAAATAATAATATCTATTACTGTAAAGATCTATGTGTCAAAGCTCAATCCACCACTGCAAAACTGTGGATCTGTGGACAGGAGTGTATTTCCAAGCTGCTAATAGTGTGAGATTAGTATATATATTGTAGTAAAGATCCCTATTTCTTTCATTTTCCTCTCCCTTTCTTCACATACCTCACTTCCTTTCCTTTCCTTATTACTGATTGGCTCTTGTTTTCACCCTCCACCCCTCATTTACCTGATAGATTTCACCTGGGCACTAGAAGATTATTTGAGCACTTCACTCCGCTCATTCACTTTTTTCACCTTCATGTGGGGCAGCAGTTATTGAATCCACTGCCCATGTGTGTCTTCCCTTTCATGTTTGAAATAAGTATTTGAGAATAAACCTTCGTTGGATTAGATTGATGTTTCATGACCTTTGTTCTTTCATCATGCATCCTGACCTGATGCCCATGGTGATAGTTAACATTTTCTGAACCTCCTACTCAACATATCCAGTGAACACCACCTGTCCTGTCTGTTGCTGCTTAATAATCAGAGTCTGGGATTTAATGATAAATCATGATGCGTGCAGAGATAAAACAGCAACAGATTTCCAAAAAACAACCTCTTTGCTTCTTACAATGCCAACATGAAAATGACATGTCAATATTTATCTCATGCATCCTCTCTGTGATATAATACAATCTGTGCAGCATCTTACAGAGAAGTAACTTAAGTCATAAATAATATTTATGAACATTCAGATGGAAATAATGTTTCTCTTCAGCAGTTATGTTGCCATTTCAGCCAGAGATTACCTGCATTTGTTACACTTAAAAGAACGGCAATCCTCTTGTGTAGCACATTAAATTTTATTCTGTAGGAACAACAATAAAAACACACATCAGTCCTCAGCATCTGTGTCTGACGATCTCACTACTACTGTCTGACGTCTTGCTCGCTCCGCTACTGAGCAGCTGAGATAACTCACAATACCGTACACTTTAAACAGGTCAACAACATTCAAAGTATCAACATGTAATCATGTACTGAACACCTTTTTTTAACCCAAATACTCATATCCAATGAACTCTATTTAAACCCAAGTATTTATTATTGTCACCGTTTTTTAGCGCCACAATGCACGCGAGCCGAATAGCCGCAAGCTAGCGCTGCAATGTATGCGAGCTCTAATAGTGTTAGCCTGTTTGTCATGTGTCACGTTCAGTCCAAGGCTTTTACACACAATATCACTTCTCTATTCCTTTCCGGTTATGATTTCTGAACCCCTTACCTGTAGGAACAACAATAAACACACACATCAGTCCTCAGCATCTGTGTCTGACGATCTCACTACTACTGTCTGACGTCTTGCTCGCTCCGCTACTGAGCAGCGTCAGCTACCGAGACCGTGTAGACACAGCGCCCTCTGCTGACCAGGCGTTCCCACCGTGTAAATACAAATATTCATCAGAAAATGAACGAAAACCATAATCAAAATATCACAAAGTGATTTCAGCCTGCTTTTAAAAGTCCTTCGCTGTTAATAATATATAAAAAATAATAATTCCCGCGATTTCTTAATTTCTTAAATGGGGGGCAAAATATTTTGATCAAGTCCTAATGTCTCTGACACACTTTCAATGTCTCTAAAAACACTTTGTGCCACACATTTTCAGGGGCATTTGTAATAAATGCTACATGAATTCTATAAACATTATCTCTGCTTCTTCATTATTAAGAAAGTGTTAGCCTTTAAGTAAACCTTTACCCAGACGTTTGTGAGCTGCAGCCCTTTAAACTATGGTCTGTCCCAGCTCACCTGCAGGCCTGCAGGGCTCTGATGATCCTGTCCATGCTGGTCAGTCTGGCCTCCATCATTGTCTCTGTGCTGGGACTTAAGTGCATCAAGATCGGCAGAACCTCGGAGCCCACGAAAGACCAGATCGCCCTGAGCGGAGGAATCATGTTCATTCTGTCTGGTATGTGGCTCTAGAACTGTGGTGGGTTTAAAGAGAGAATTCAGTTATTAAAAGGCCCCCGTTCATCAGACCTGCAACCTGTGAGCTATGTCCTTTACCATGAGATCATTTCCTCATTTAATTTTGACACGTTGAATTAATTAAAATGCATGAGCATGCAAGAGAACTCTCAGATTAATTGGCATTTTGTGAATGACAGTCGTTAAAAGTAAAACAGGATGCTGGGGTAAGTTATACATAAACCACTTCTATGAAACAGGCCCCAGATAGTTTACTGCAAAGTGAGTGTGGAGTGTGATCAATTAATCAGCTGCTGATCTGAATCTCACACACACATCCTGGTGGAGCCCACCTGATGGTCAGTTCAGTAGCTGGATGATGCCACGCATGATCTTCGTTGTGTTAAAGTTATCAAACTTGTTCCACACGTTGACTGTATAAAGATGGATGTAGCCTCTGTGACGTCACCCACAGGTCTCTGAAGAGTGATTTTGAAGCTCAGAGAGCTGCTCCACCATCGCCATCTTGGCAGTACCTGACTCCGCCCCTAACTCCAAGCTAATCCAAAAATGGTCAAAGAGTTGGGGCATGTACTCACCCACCTGTCACTCAAAGAGGCCATACAGGGATGACAGGATGGAGCTGTCCTTTTGCTCTGTGGTTTGCTCTTTTATAACTGTTGCAGTTTCAGTCTCTGTCTGTAAGACTCAGCAGGTTTTCTCCACAGGGAAGAAGAACAAGTTTTCAGTTTGTACAACCATTATGAGGAATCAGTGGTGTTGTCATGTATATGTATGTATGTTTCTGTCAGATCATATTCAGTGACAGTTTTCTCTCTCAGGTGTCTTCACTCTGACAGCTGTGTCCTGGTATGCTGCTAGAGTCATTAACGACTTCTATGACCCGCTCTATGGAGGAGTCAGGTCAGTAACACACACACACACACACACAAGCACACAAACACACACACGCGCGCATGCACCGACACACACGCACACACACGCACAAACACACACACACACACACACACACACACACAAGCACAAGCACACAAACACACACACACTCGCGCATACACGCACGCACCCACACGCACACGCACGCACACACTACATCTGCTGTTGTCAGTGATGATGACGTGTGTTGGTGCTGCAGGTTCGAGCTGGGTACTGGTCTGTATCTGGGCTGGGCGGCCTCCTGTCTGGCCGTACTGGGAGGATCTATGCTCTGCTGCTCCTGCAGGAAGACCTCCCTCGTTCCCCCCGCTGGGTAAACCCACAGCACCACACTTGTAGTACTGGATGTTGTCCACACAGGGGCGCCATCAGCCACTTGAACTGCTGTCTATGACTGTGTATCATGCACTCTATCATACAGTCAGTTTCAACACCACTGCCACAGAGAATACTGGAATCTGATTAGCTTAAGGGTGGTCAGTCAGACCCAAACCAGAACAGACGTGTGGGAAAACTTTCCAGAGCCCAATGTGCATAAATAGATTTTCAGAGAGAGACCTGATCTGAGAGGGACCCCTGAGAAGTCCCCAGTCTGAACGACCCAGACACAATTAGTCTTGACCCTAAAAGGTGTGGGACATGAACAGAGCAAAACGCAGAGAGAACAGTACTAGCCCCAGCATGGCAGAGGTCTTCTCTGGTCCACACAGTTCCTAGTATCCAAGTCTCCTCATCGGAACCTGTTTAGGACAGATCCAAATTATATTCAGTCTGCTCAGGTCCAGGTGAGTCATCAGATCAGTGCTGACAGATAGTCACCTTGGATCCATTATGGTATCACACATGTTGATACACAGACCTGAGACCTGCAGCTATACAGTAAGACCCTACCAGACCTGGTGGGGCTGGAGATAGTTTGGACCTGGACTGACTCTGGTTGGGTCTCAAAAGCTCTGGCCTGTGTGTGTAAAAATAAATATCTTTTAATAACTTTACTGGTTTAAGACACTGACCATGTAATGGCAGTGTCATTGGTTCTGGCTGGAGGCCTTTGCTGCATGTCATCCCTCTCCCCCCTCATTTCCTGCTGTCTCTCTACTGTCCAGTATGGCTGCTGGTTGGTCAACATTCTGCATGTGTTGCTCCATGTAAAAACAATGACACAGACAAGAAAAATGATGACTACAAAAGTTGCAGATGATAGTAACATTTCTGAATCTTTAATGAAGCACCAGCTTTGTTGTGCATGAATCATTAATTGGCTGTGCATCACAAGCCAGTGTCTGTTTATCCAAAGATGGACTGTTACAGGAAGGAAACACCACTCTGTCTTGTTTTTGTATTTGAGAATACAGCGAGTATCTTTTTAGATGTGAAATATTACAAGTCTTTTGGTGTAAGTCAGAACTATTGTGGCGTTGAGTCGCTCTGCCTTCTGTCTTGTGTGCTCCTGCAGGCAGTTTTCATACAACTACTCCACAACAAGTCGAGGACACAGCATCTACAGAGCAGCTCCGGCCTCAGACAGCGGCAGCACCAAAGCTTACGTCTGAACCTCCCAAGCACTGCTGCTTCCTGTCTGATCTACTGTCTCAGCACAGACTCAGAAACATCACAGTCTCATTCAGGATCATGTTGACTTTAAAGAATCTTCGAATTTTGGGGCAAAACCTTTTTTTTATAAACACAAAATTAAACCGAACCAATTAAACCAATGTATTTTCTACTAAAGAAATTTTATTGTGAAGGGCACGGATCATTTGATTTTTGCCTATTCCTTTGTATTATTGATTGATTGATTGTCTACTTAAAAACGTGTAATTACATGAGGATGAGCCATGTGTTAAGTGTTAGATTTGGACATGTTGTAAATAAAATGTTTCCTGAATCTGTTTTCTATTCTCTGGAGATTGATTTCGAAGTGTTGTTCAGAGGGCATAGATTCCTTAAGCCTGATACAAGTCTGATAAGGTTATCTTTATTATGAACTCATTTCCTGATGCTAAGACAATAAATCCCATTTCTGATTGAGTTGAACTGACAGAGAGTCAGTAACTCTTCACAAAATGAATTAAAGAACAATCCTGAAAAATGTCAGGGGGAGTAAACGGTGCAGTGCAGAGCAAGCAAGTAAGCAAAACTTTATTCATACATATTTCATTCCAGGTGGAATCAAGGAAGTTATCAAGGAAGTTACAACCACAGAAACTATGTGGATAGTGTAAAAATAAAACATTAGACACAAACTGAAACAAACACATAAATGATATGTATGAATTAAAAACCATTACTAAAATAAAGTAATTAAGACCAACAACTGATCAGTGAAAAGGTGTGGAAAATAAAACAATTAAAAAAGTAGGAATAAAATGTGAATAAAAAATAATAAATAGTCCAATAAAAATAAGACATATAAAACCAATAACAGAATGAAAGTAAAAAAAAAAAGGTAAATTAAGAGCAGCAAACCAGACCACTGGAGAGCAGACTAAAAAGGATCAGATTCAAAAGATGATAGCGTAGCAGCACCTCTAATATCATTAGGTAACATGTTCCAGTGGCTTGGTGCATAAAAGCTGAAGGAAGTTTCACTAGTTTTTTATGGAGACCCAGGGAATAACCAGACAGCCTGTTCCAGCTGACCTGAGGGGTTGAGCTGGTTCACAAGCAGGTTAGATGGATACTGTAGGTGCAAGATCATGTAAGGCCTTCAAAACAAGCATTTAAATTTTAGAATCAAGTGTAAAATTGACTGGAAGCCAGTTTAACAACCACAGCACAGGTATTATATGGTCGTAGTTAAAACTCTGGCAGCTGCATCCTGTAGTGGCTGCAGACGATTCAGATGTCTTTGTGATATTCCTGTGAGCAGTGTGTTACAGTTGTCTAGCTGGCTGGGAATAAGCATGGATGAGTTTTTCAGCATCATCTTAGGATAAAAGCCCCTTACTTTTACAATAAGTGATGAAACACTGTTTTGACTGTGCTGTTAATGTGGCTCTGGAAGGAGATGTCAGCATCCAGGATCACTCCAAGGTTTCTAGCCTGTGTGACAGTTTCCAGAGATAGTTGTGATAATTTAACAGAGATTTCCTGTCTATTAGTTTCTGCCCCAATAACCATGACCTCTGTCTTGTCACACCCAGTTATCAATATCATTCTAATGGTGTATTTATAGGGTTCACATCTTTGTGGGACAGGGAAATATATAATTGCATGTTATGAGCATAGTTGTGGTAGGACAAACATTAGCAGTAGAAAACATTTTTTTCAAGCTAAAATTCCCAAGAGGAACATTAAAATCACATCCTTTAATATATGATAAAAACCAGTCAAGTGCTGATCCAGATAGGCCAACCCACCTCTCAGATCTCTGCATTAAATATCATGATCAATAGTGTCGAATGCCGCACTTACATCCAATAGTACTCACATGGAAACTCTGCCATTGTCACAATTTATTCTCAGGTCATTAGCTACATTGACCAAGGCTGTTTCAGTACTATGGTTGGGACGAGAGCCGGGTTGGTAGAGGTCTTGCACTTGTACTTGACTTTTTCAACTATTTTGCTCAGGAATGGGAGGTTAGAGATAAGTCTGTAATTATTAACTGTCAAAGAATGGAGGTCTGGACCCACAATGCAGACAAAACACTGAATGGCTGTAGCAAAAACAAATGTTTATTTTACAAAGGTTGGAGCGGCTGGAGCGGGGCAGGAGTTGCTGCGTCTTGGGAGGTGTCCAGAGGTAATCCAGGGGAGTCTGCAGAAAGCGGAGTGAGGCCGGGTCAGGTGGAGTGGCGTGCGAGGTCCAGAAGGGTAGCGGCAAAAAGCAGGACCTGGAAACGGGGAAAACACACGGTCAAAACTGAGCTACAAAGCTAGCAAAAGAGTACTGAAAAATACTGAGAGCCAATGCACTATACCACTTAGGTAAGCTGACAATCTGGCGAAGAGCTGTGAACTGGACCAGGGTTATATGCAGAGTGGAGTGAAGGCGACTTGATTGCTGATGGCTGGCAGGTGGCTTGATTACCGACGGCTGGCAGGTGTGCAGGTGAGTGGTGACTTCAGCTCCGCCCAGCTCCAGACAGAAAAACACTAGGATCCTGACAGTACCCACCCACCAACGGGAGCCCCCTGGCGACCCCCAGGCTTGGCAGGATTAGCATTGTGAAACTCCCTCACCATATCAGGGTCCAGAATGAGGGACCGAGAGATCCAAGACCGCTCCTCTGGTCCATACCCCTCCCAGTCGACCAGGTATTGCAGCCCCCGGGGGGGAGGTGGGGGAACCGCCGGAGGGCAAAGGTCACTGCTTTGGACAGGCTTTAACTGGGAAACATGAGAAGTGGGGTGGATACGGAGGGATTTTGGGAGCTCAAGGCGGACAGCAGAGGGATTGATATCTTTACAATCTTGAATGGACCAAGGTAATGGGGAGACAGCTTCCGGGAATCGGTCTTGAGTGGAATATTTCTAGAAGATAGCCAAACTGACTGACCTGTGTGATATTGGGGAGCTGGGACACGGTGTTGGTCAGCTGCTTGTTTGTTCTTGGCAGAGGTTTGGAGGAGAATGGCTCGGGTCTTCTTCCAGATGTTTTGGCAACGACGGAGATGATGCTGGATAGAGGGAACCAAAAGCTCCTCTTCTGGAGAGGGAAACAGAGGAGGTTGATATCCAAGGGATTCTTCAAAAAGGTGACATACCTGAGGCAGAGCTGACAAGGGAATTATGAGCGTATTTGATCCATGGGAGGAATGAGGTCCAAGCAGAGGGGTTGGATGCAGTGATACAGCGAAGAGAGGTCTCCAAATCTTGGTTTGCCCGTTCTGTTTGTCCGTTGGTCTGGGGGTGATAACCAGAGGTTAAAATGACAGTGGCACCCAGGCCCTGACAGAAAGCTTGCCATACCTGTGATGTAAACTGGGGCCCTCGGTCAGAAACAATGTCTGTAGGAATACCATGCAGGCGAAATACATGGGTGGTAAGTAATTCTGCAGTCTCCTTAGCTGAGGGCAGTTTGGGGATGGCAATGAAGTGTGCAGCCTTGGAGAAGCGGTCAACTATGGTAAGTATGGTGGTATTACCTTGGGAAACTAGGAGGCCTTTGACAAAGTCAACAGTGATGTGGGACCACGGGCGACCAGGAACAGGTAGAGGACGGAGCAGGCCAGCAGGGGGTGAGTGGGATGCTTTGCCACGGGCACAGACGGAGCAGGCCTGGACATAGGCTCGGGTGTCCCTATCCATTGTCGGCCACCAGAAGTGGCGCTTGAGGAGGGATAGGGTTCGGTTGATTCCCGGATGGCAAGAGAATTTACTGGCATGCACCCAAGACCGGACAGAATCAGGGACGAATAGACGGTTAGGCGGGCCTCCACCAGGGTCCGGTTGGGTGCGTTGTGCTTCCTGGATCTGGGACTCAATCTCCCAGGTAATGGGAGCCACCACCTGGGAGGCTGGCAGGATGTTCTCAGGTCCAGTGGGGGTCTCCTCAGCGCTAAACTGCCGTGACAGGGCATCAGGCTTAACGTTGCGGGAGCCAGGACATATATACATATATATATATATATATATATATATATATATATATATGTGTGTGTGTGTGTATATATATATATGTATGTGTGTGTATATATATATATATATATATAATAAACAAATTACAAACCACATTGGATTGTTATTATTTGTGTAGTATATAAAGACATAAGAAATGTAACGATGTCATTGTTTATGCTGTAAGGATAAGGCATGTATCATTTCAGGATTTTATTAAAATAGAACAGATTATACACATAAGTAAGATTGCAAAAATAAATAATAAAAAAAAAAAAAAAAAATTAAAATATTCACACTTCACAAGAAAAAGTATCACTCTGTATTGCTACATCCTCCTGGGTAAAAGGACAGCAAAATACTTTATTTATTGAGTGATAATGCACATATTATTGCCTGACTGCTATTGCAGTTTACTACAGTCTACTAGGGATGACACCTTGATACTGTTCATGAGGATCTGGGTACTGGTCACATATTTTCCAGACACAGCAACTAGGGATAACAGCTGTTACCCTGTCCTAGTGCTCTGTGTTCTTACACAACAAACTGTCTGTAAGCTGCATAGCTGAACTGCTGCTTGATCTCCCTGGACCATCAGCCTCTGCCAGGATCTTATTCCAGATATGTCTGGCAAGGCGCAGCTACGACCCCCTCCTGCAAAATATTTGCTTCATGGATGCATGGATATGCAGCAGTTGGAAAGGACAAGGTAGGTTGACCTGTGGAGGAGCATCTGCTGCTGTCATTTCTATGATAAAACATAAGTCCTAGGTCACGCGTTGGACAGAGCTCCAGCAGGTGATGTGACTGTTCCAGGTCTAGTCTTCGAATTCTGGTCTGTGCAACAACAGATAACAAACACGAATAGATTAATTGAATTTTGTATTTGTGGTGTTGGTCAGAAAAAAAGGATAGTAATATGCTATTACAGATACCTGCTTATCTGCAATCCTTGAGCATGCAGATTTTTAACCTGTCAAAAGTCTTCTTCTCTGAGACTCCCTGTTCCTGTCCAGCCTCCCCGTTCTATTCCTCACACACTGTCGGTTGCTCTCCCTCTCCCACGACCTCCTCAGCATCACCTTCGCCTCAGAGCCCTCGTCTGGCCTCTGTGATATGAAGTGCTTGGCTCTGGAGTGTACTTGGAGTCAGAGCTAGAAATGCTGTCATCCTGGAAGCTCTAACATCCAAAATGTAATATGTGTGACTGATAGTAAAGGAAAACGTCAGTGTAGCTAGATAAGTGCTAGAGCTTTTTCATAGACATGCTGCTGAAAATATAAGATAATATATAATATAGAATACTTAAGCTGTATTAGTAGTAT